AAATACTACCTACAGTTATCGAATATGTTTTAAACATTAAAACACATTAAATTTACAACAAAAAAGCTCATAGTGCTTAAATTGTCCAAAGTTGTTATTTTAGAGATACTCGTTAAGTTTAAATTCACTAATCGTATAACTTGAGTATTTTTGCCCTTTTGAGATGTTATTCGTGAGTGTCCAATCATGGAAATATGTTTAACGAAAAGCCCAATTAATATCCTTCTTCTTTTCGTATACGAGTATTAGTAAAATACACTGAAGAAGTGGATTGTGGACGAAATACGCGTATCTGTCAAGGATAAGCGAATAAAGTAGTGGAATTAAATGGAAATTACTAATCCTTCTTCACGTAACGAGCCCCTGAACTGGGCAAATACTTCGTCCAAGTACCCGGCATCTCGGAGTACAACGAAAGCTTCCGACAGCGAGTCGGCCCCTCTCTGTCCTCTGTGTCTGCCTTGGGAATTCCTCCAGACAACGACGACCTACCGATCAACAGCCCACTCTCCTGGGAAGAACTCGTGTTAGCTCTCAGTCGGAGCAACGGAAACTCGGCCGGACCGGATGAAATCGGCTACCCGCTGCTAAAGCACCTTCCACCCGAAGACAAAACGAAACTTCTCGATCTTTACAACCAACTCTGGACCGCTGAAGAATACCCGGAAAAATGAAGAGAAAGCCTTGTTATACCGTTACCGAAAACCAATGTCGGGACCAAGGACATCACTGGGTTACGTCTCATTGCACTGTCCTGTTGCATGGCCAAAGTCCTGAAACGGATGGTCAACAGGAGGCTGCAACAATATCTTGAAGCCGAAGGGGTTGCTTGACCATCGGCAACGCCTTCAGGCAAGAGTATGGCACATCCACCTACTTCGCCACTCTTGGTGAAGTCCTGATGGAGGCACAGGACCTAGGTCATCACGCGGAAATCGTCTCGCTGGACATCTCCAAAGCGTTCAATCGAACATGGACACCAGCTGTATTGAAGAAGCTTGCTGATTGGGATCTGAAAGGACACATCCTTCACTTCGTCCGAAACTTTCTGACCGGCCGATCTTTTCGGGTTTCGATCAGAAACGTGCAATCCGGAAGTTTCAGTGAGGAAACCGGAGTACCACTGGGTTCGGTGATCGCGGTCTCCCTCTTCCTGGTGGCCATGAATGGGGTCTTTGACCAACTATCCAAAAACGTTTACATCTTCGTCTACGCGGATGACGTCCTCATTGTAACGGTGGGTCCTACCCTGCAGAGGACAAAACTGAGAGCGCAAGCGGCAGTCTCCTCGGTGGTCATATGGGCTGACTCTGTTGATTTCCAGCTTTCCGCCGGCAAGAGCGTGCGCTGCTATATATGTACCACTAGGCATCGCAACAACGGACAGCCCACCATGATTTTTTTTTTTTTTTTTTATTATAGTCACTTTAACACTCTTCGGTCATTCGTGACTTTTCCGGGGATGAGATTTGAACTCGTGACTTTGGCGTGAGAGGTATGGATGTTAACCACTACGCCGGGGTCGCCCCACCCATCATGATTAAACAACAAGCAATACCGACCAAAAACACCGTGAGGGCCTTGGAAGTGCTCCTCGATCGGAATTTATCCTTTGAGCCGCATTTCCAACAAGTAAAGAAGGACTGTCGCAGTTGGTCCAACCTGATTAAGACCATCTCTCGCCCCCACCTATCCAACAATCGCAAAATCCACTTCCGCGTAGCTCGAGCCATCATCGACAGTCGCCTACTGTACGGTGTAGAGATTAAATGCCTTGCCGCCGAGAAAGCCGTCCAGATTCTGGAACCGGTGTACAACGGCTACGTTCGAACAGTCTCCGGTCTCCTGCTCTCTACCCCGGCCGACGCTATATGCGTTGAAGCCGGTATCCTACCTTTTCGGCTCGTTTTCACCGCAGCTACTGCTACCAAAGCCGCTGCCTTTCTCGCTAAAACGTCGGGAAACAACAGGATCGTTCTCCTCGACGAGACGAACCGACTCCACCGCACGGCCGCCGACGTAAATCTCCCTCGAGTGGCCAGGGTCCACTGGCACGGTGAAGTAGGCAATCGCACAAGAACAAAATTGACAGCCGAATCAAGAACCACTTCAGGGCAGGAGACAACTCGCTGGCTTTACGCCGGACACTTGTCGAAATTCTAGCGGCGCACTACCAAGGTTATGAAGTTAGGTACACCGGCGGCTCTCTCTCCAGGAGCGGAGTGGGAATGGGGGTCTCCGGCGATGGTCTGCTTGTGAGCAGATCGCTTCCGACCTAATGCTCGGTGTTCTCAGCTGAGGCAGCGGTCATTCTCCACGTGGATAAGTTACCGGCCAACCGGCCGATATTAGTCGTAACTAACTCACACAGCGTGATATCGGCCCTAACAACAGAAACACCGAAGCATCCGTGGATCCAAGGGACGGTAAAGCATGCGCCACCCAACACTGTATTCATGTGGGTACCCAGTCACTGCGGGATCCAAGGGAACGTAACAGCCGACCACCTCGCCGTCTCAGGCCACACTGGACCCAGGTTCACTGGCAATGTACCGCTCCAAGATGTCAAAAAGTGGATCAAGCGGACGGCTCGGAGAGCCTAGGACACCGAATGGAGGAACAACAGGACACACCACCTTCGGAAGATCAAGGCGAACACCGGAACCTGGAAGGATTGACCAAACTTAAGAGAACAACGAGTGATGTCAAGGCTGTGCACCGGGCACAGTAGAGTCTCCCACAACTTCGGAGGAACACCGTTCCGGAGGACCTGCGAAACCTGCGGAGTGCCAGCCACCGTGGAGCACATCCTGTTGGGCGACGAGTCCCCGGCAGCAGCCGCCCTCATCACCTTCCTAAAGGAGGCGAACCTTTACAACAATATCTGAGTGTTCCTTGTTTGTATTTCCACTTTGTTGGCCCTTTTGGCAGTTTTCTACACCTTTTTATTCTACCAAGATAAATGTACCACAACCAAGATTGGGAATCTCCTTCTGAGAACCCAATTCTTTTTTCTCTATATTTTTTACTATCTTAAGATATGAACTAGCCATATGGCTAAAAATCTCTATAATAAAGACCAAAAAAAAAGAAGAACTTTTCAAGCCACAGGAGCAAAAGGCTTGCCACACCAAAACCTTTTTTTTCCAAATTTTTCGGTTCGAATGTATCGCACACATCATCAGGTACATCTGCTCAGCGTTGAAAAAATGTGGCCCGGGAAGTGTACTGGTATCCAATATGACGTACGTCTCGTCGTCCATCAAAATGCACCGGTTCGGCTTTTGAAGGAGAACATCATACAAGTTCCGTGACCGTATTTTCGAAGAAGCTTTCTGTGAATCCGTCCTTTTGGGTGCTTTTTGCTTCTAGTAGGTTCTGATATTGTTACGTTTTTTGATATTCTGCACAGTTCCGACGCTTATGTCCAACACGGTTTATGCAATTACAAAAGGCGTACTGCTGCCAGCTCCTTTTTCTGGTCTGATGCCCCCTTTTTGCGCTCAGATTTCGGTAAATCTTCAAGAGAACAGGTTTCTCCAAGCTTCGTAACAATCTTGAACACTGTACACGCTATTTCAAAACTACCCAAATTTGGGTAGAATCCACCCAGATCTGTCAAAACTGAACATACGAATGACCTGAGTTGGTTGATGACTGACTTAGGTAGCGTTATCTATATCATTTCAGAAGCTTTTAGGGTTGGTGATGCTGATCCTATCATTCCTTTAAAATGCTATGTTTTTTTTTGCAAATCGCCCTCTCCGTTTTCCGAACTTTTACCCACCACTTGTACGGGGGTTGAATCTCAATTTGCAATGCTATTGAACTGGAACTGTAAAGCGAAAGTGGAATAAACAGGAAAGCAATCGACTATAATTCCTGGCATCCAGACCTTCGTCAGACTCCACACTGCCAACAAAACTTTTCGCCTCATCTCAATCACCCGTGGGAACGGGACCCCATTCTCATGATTACGGAAAACGTGCCTGGACTGACTGCCGCCCGTGTGGTCGCCTAGACAGGAGTGGAGCTTTAAAATTCAGACGAACGTCTCCTTTTCACGTTGCCTCGAGTGGAAATCCGGACTGATTTGAGATTTGGGCGTAACTGTTTTTGTAAACACTGACTCAAAAGCTCAATCTCGCAAAGTAACACCACAATCACGTAGGAAAGTGATTCCTCTTGCAGTTGACATAGTTTGTTGGCGATATCGAGCTTTTATTCGCGGGAAATCGGTGATTGAAGTAATTGTTTACAAGCACAGTTACGCTGAAGTCTCAAATCAGTCCAGAAATGAGTGTACCGAGTGAGTTCCATGCACTTTGGTCCGAACAAAAGGAAAAGTGGATTCCGGTGAAAATCAGACGGGCGAAAGTCACTGGAAGGTTGCCAAAATCAACATTGTGTCGTCGTCGTCATCGACCTTCTGTTTGAGTTTTTTTTTTATTTCAACGCTGCTACTGGCAAAAGCCAACACACGAATGTAATAAAATGCTTAGATAAATTCGAGACTGGGGAGCGGTTGAAAAGTTGGTCCCACCACCCCTTCGAGCAGATTGGCCCGAGCGGGGCGATAATGCCATTTAACAACTATGATTATGGCTCGGAGTTTGTGGGGCAAGGATGCTCAACGGTTTTAATCGAGTCGCTCTCTCGCCTTTAATTAAATTGGCCCCAACGACGCATGATCCTAGCTCGACTGGTTTTGTCGGTAATTTATTCGATCAGGAGGATCATACATTGTGCAAGATAACATGAGGAATAGCGAGTAAGGCGATTTGGATTTTTTATATTGGCCATAAATTCGATTTATCGCAGCGGGATTTATGGGCCGGGGTCCAACAAAGTTGAGAATGTATGAATTTATTTTCTTTCTCTAAGGCGACAGTATGTTGATTTATCTGTTTTCAATGTTGGCAATTAGTTCTAGAGCATTCGTCGAAAACTTTTCCCTAAAGTAAACAGTCATAGCATTGTTTTCGATCGTTAAAACTTACCTTAAATTCTTTACTTTCTTTTACCCTAAGTTGTGCCCTGACAATATCACCGGCCTTGGGCCTGCCGAGAAGTGCCATCTTGTCTTCCTCCGTGAGCTCTTCGGGGGATTTCTGCTCCGCCGCTTCGATGAGCCCTGTCAGTTCGTCGTCTGGAGTGGCGAGAGCATATGTGGACGAGGGGGAAGAAAAAGTACGAAAGTATGTTAGTTAAAATGGAATTTGGCGATCTGCGGAACTGCGGGACGAAGACGAGTCTTAGCAATAACGATAGTCACACAACAAACAACATAAAGAAATGAACAACAACTCGGAAGTGGTTTTTAGTCAAAATGGAAACACAAATGGAGGGATGGGACGTTACATATAATTGGACTATGAATGCCACAGCGTAAAGCGCGATTATGGGTTATGCTACACACTTCGAAAAAGTCATGTTAATTTCGGTACCCTGACACCGACACGCATGCAAGCAGCCCTTATGGCATAAGAAGCAGTTGAAAGAAACGGGAAACAATCAATTCAATGAAACGCATTTTTCGTTGAGTTGCTTATGTTTTGATTCCGAAACACTTAATTTTACATGATATGTTTGTTTACGTTCCAAAATTAACGTTAAAGATGATACGTTCACGTTCCATGATTACGTCTAGTGTACAAATATTTATTTCTAAGTGTGTATTGTCGAGTGAAGAACGCAGTAGTTGGTCGTGAACCTTTTTTGAAGTTTATTGCCGTATTATGACCTACATCTCTGCTCTGTATTAATTCAAACCATTATCCATGGATGATTGACATTTGATGACATGTCTTTATTTTGTACCGACATTTGTTCCCTGTTGATTTTTTGAAGACATTCCATGTTTTGTGAAGATGTTTGTAGACATGCTAAAACTGAAGAAAACTACAAACTTAGAAATGATTGTTGTCATTGGTAATCGTTCACCGAAGTCACAACAGCTAGAACAGCTTTGTCCTATAGATTCAATCCTGATTTTAACAAAAATATGTTCAAAACACGTTCAACCTTATTTAAATGATCAAATCTTGCCACTGTAGTGGAGTTTTCGTTTGTTTGTAGCTTTAAAAAAATACATTCAACTGCCTAATTTTTACCGAACAGTTCCAGCTGTTGAGATTTCGGCAAAAAATACCGAAATCGGCGATAATTTGTAGATGTGTTCCGAAGGTTTTTTTTTAATCTTAAGCAGACATGTGAACATTTTGCTATAGAAAAAAAAATTATGGCATTGCATGCCGGGTGCAATGCTTCAGTGAACCGAGTGTACAGGGTGAAAGGTAATTCCTGTCAGTAAAGTATATGGTCATAAAAATGAGAAGATGATGTGATATTAATTTTTCAGTGTATTTCCTGTTTCGTGTATCTATAACATTTGTCTTAACTTAGTCCAATTCAAATCTGTCTCCTTTTCCTTTAATTACGAGCCACATCCGTTTTTGAAAATCGTTACAGCTGGCACGCACGATATCTTGAGCAGTGCTGCACAATTTCGACAATACACGGTGATACTCAAAATTCTGCTTTGGTCACTCGTTTGAGTTAACAGTCATCGTCAAGGCAAACCATTTCAATTGTCAGTTGCATTTTTGTCAGTAACGAACATGTGCTGATTTGTTTATTAGCTAAATTTAAAATGAAATTAAATGGTTTGAGGAAAACAATTACATGGAGCCATTAAAGTGAACAAGCATCTACGTCCTGAACAGCTTGGATAACAATAATGTGACTCAGAATGCAAGAAATTACCCTTTCTGTTACCAGGTCAATCTTTGTCATTGACGAAAAAATGAATAAGATTTTGACAAAAATTTTTTTGAGGATCAAGTCTATCATTGACTATGTGAAAAACAATTTTGTCAATATCGCGCAAAAGTCTGGCAATGACAATGACAAATCTCAGCAATGATCTTGAGGCATTTCGTCCCATATTTTCACCAAAATTTGCTTAAAAATTTTCAACGGTTAGTCCCTTGGTATTCCCTAGTTCGCCTAATATGTAGCCCCATGCAAAGAAACCCCATGCAAAGAAGTCGAGAGGATTCAAATCGGGTGAGGAGGCAGGCCATTCTTTCGACGAAATGAAATCCGGGAAATTGGCCTTACACCAAGCCTGTGTAACTTTTGCGTGATGGGACGGTGCAGAGTCTTGTTGGAAGCAGTATGGTGTATTCTTATTATGTTATTATCGATGTAATATTTACCGTTGATTTTAACACCAATGAAACTTTCAATGTTTTGGAGAAACATCCCCATACCATCACCCTGGAAACATTCTGGAATCTTTGAACAGCCAGTTTGTCACGAGGAATATCAGCAAGATATGCAGTATATATCCGATCATTTTGCTGGTTGTAGTGATCCTGTAGCAGGAACATTTTCTTATCCGAAAACAGAATTTTGCAATCACCGTGCCGTTTGAGCAGTTTCCGGCATCTTTCGACTCTAGCTATCTTTTACTTTCCAGTCAAACCATGCACCCGCTGTTTTTTGTAAGCATTCAATCCGAGATCATCTTTGAAAATACTCCTGATCGTTGGCTGCGACATTCCGAGTTCTTTGGCCATCTTACGCCCAGACTTACTACTTACTCTCTCACTCGTTTGATAACTTCCGGAGTCCTGACACTGCGTTTTCGGCCTGGTCTGGGAGGGATTTTCCACGAACCGTACCGTTTAATGGTGCGAAAGATGAATCTTTCGTTTATTCCGAGTGGTTTCAGCGTCTTAAAAATAGAACACGGTCTATGATGCTTCAAAAACAGGCTTATCACGAGTTCCCTTTTCGCGTCCATGATTATCACGAGTATCAAACGAATGAAAATTCAAAACAAACATGCATGCCGTGCATGCCGTGTTGAAATTTGAACACACTCTAAAGGAAAAATATGGAGACATGTGTGTGATTAACCCAATCGCTTAAAAAACACTGACAGGAATCACCTTTCACCCTGGATGCTCAGCGAGCATCAGATCAGGTTCAATCCCAGTCCCGTCCACTTGAAATATTTGTAGAGCAATCCCGACCAGAAGGACATGAAAAGATTATTGTAAATTGTGTTATTCTGTTCCACAGATTTTTGTAACAACATAGTTACAAGATCCTGGATTTAGTGAAAATAACAAAAACCCTACCAAAAATGTACTGCTCGGTAAGAAAAATATAACTAGTATTGTTAGGGAAATATAATGATTCTAACGTAGATTGTTTCAATATTACACATTAAGGTAAACACTTAATAGGGTCTTGGTGATTCCACGGTACTTATGAATATTTTGGTCGCTATTTAGAATTTAGTCGATTTCTGAATTTATGTATGGGCCCAAATTAGGGGCATTTAGGCCGACATTGTATCCATTTCCCCTATGCCATTTTAAAACGATGATATCTTCGCCCGAAATCGAGCTACAGAAAATGTTAGCTGTTGTTTTCAGCTTAGAATTTTGCAAGGAATCTGATAAAATAATTTTTTTTGGCAGTGTTGCCAACTATGATAATTTTGCAGTAAATAGAAAAAAGGGGTAGTCCCAACAAACAATTCTGAGACACAAATAAGTATCCATATTGAATAAATGCTGTTTAACAGTGTACAATGCTGAATAAAACGGGTTGTCGAATTATGTGCTGAAAAAATCTCATTGAGATCGATAGATGCGCCTTTCTTCCGCTGCACAGTGCTGCTTTTTGCCGTTTTCGTGCGCATTTTTAATAGCTTCTTAAACATTGATTTTAAGAGTATAGTTTGTTCAAAGATGTGTTTGCATATGTTATTCCGCTTCTTTTAATGTAGACGGTTTGGTGATTAATCCACCTAAAAGTGAGATCAAAAAAATATTTTTTAATCTGATTCACATTGAGACTTTACGTCTTTAATAAAGTTGTAGCAAATGTTATTCATAGCAATTTTGCTGAACACAAAATTTCTAGCTCTTACAAATTGCGAGATATGCATCATTTTTCGTGAAAGGACCCTTTAAATCATGTTTTTTAGTATAACTGATGTTCTAGTCATCTTACAATTTTAATTTCTTCTACATTTATATGTTGCATGTCTAAACACATGCTTTTGCTGAAAATTATAAATAATTATCTCTTGAAACAAAAAAGTTATTCTTAAATAATCGATATTTTTAGGGCTATTTGCTCCTCAAATAATTATTTCCGGCGCAAATTGGCGCAAATTCTAGGAAGCATTCTGAATCTATAAGTATTTTACTGCCGAAAAGTTATAAAAACATGTGACAGTACGCGATCTTTTAGGTGTTTTTTAATAACTAAAAAACTCCTGCAAATGTCTTATTTTTGAAAACATATATTAATTTTAAGAGAAAGAATGTTACAATGTTCAGCAAAAATATGTATTTTTGTACGACAAACACCTTTATAGAATATGTTAAATATATTGAAAATCTACGAAAAAAGTTACACTCAAAACAATTATTTGAAGGAGTATTAAATTTAACTTTATCTTGAGTAAACCAATTTATGCGTTTTATTGATAGTAAGCTGTCAAATTATATAAGAGTAGAAACGGAAGAGGTGAACTGCTGCAAACCGTTAAAAAATGGCGGAATTATCAACTTCAGGTATGCTTATGTGATTATTTCAAGAACCGGAATGCAAAGAAGTGATTAACTTTGTTTAATTTATATGTTAATAATAATGTTTTTGTTGCCTCTTGTTCTTAACCATAGAATTTGATAAACTTGGAGTTTCAAAATGTTCACAAGAACGTTATCGAAGCTTACGCAATCAATTCCGATGTCTCTATGGTTGTTGCTTCTAAAATTAAAAAAAAAACATACCGGCTGCTCAAAGCAGAGGGTTTTAGGACGTTGCTCCGAATACTTCAAAAAACATTTCAAAAGTTTTATAAGCTCTGAAAGATGTAACTATCGGTCAAAGAGCAATTCCCTTTCGAAGATTGCAAAGCAACGAAAAGGAAATAATCAGTTTGTATAAGAAATCGCTACCAACCGAATCAGCTGGCATTTGCAACGCAAATATAGCTTCGAGAGGCAAAGCAAAAGGATGCGACAGAAATTAATAAAGAAGCTACTCAAACAACAACTTCGCGAGCAACCAGAATCAGCGATTCTTGGAAAAAAGCAGATAGTATACTCCTTCAAATCATTGTTTTAAGTATAACTTTTTTCCTAGATTTTCGATATTTTTAATATATTCTACAAAGTTGTTTGCCGTACAAAAAAACATATTTTTGCAGAACATTGTAACATGCTGTCTCTTAAAATTAAAATACAGGGTGCGTGACGAATTTTTGCAGTAAATTTCAAATAGTAATTTCTCATGCTTGTGCATCATGATTTAGATATATTTGGCAGCACTGGATAGCTTATACTGTTAGGTGTAAGATTTAAACAAACAATGTTGAGTAAACGTAAAGATGTCGAAACAAGAGAGCAATCTGTCAGCCGTTGTCGCTTTGTTGCGCGCCGGAGTATGCATGAAAGAAATAATTCGGTCGGTAAATGTGTCTGAAAGAACAGTGTATAATATTAAAAAAGGCTTGGGAAAGTGATAAGACGGAGCACCTGCTCATACTGCTAATAAAGCACAGAAATGGCTTACGGAAAATATTTCTCGTAAATTTGGGAGGAAGAAATTTGGCCCCCAAGCAGTCCCGATATCAATCCGTTGGATTATTTTGTATAGGGCGTCGTCCAACGGGATACCAATAGAACCCGTCACACCACACTTAAGTCGCTAAAAGCTAAAATCAAGGCAGTGCAGACATCTATGGATCGAAACATTTTAAAACGTGCATACTGCAGTTTCCGGAAGCGTCTAACTACAGTCGTCGAAAGGGAAGGCAATTTTTTTGAATAAATTTACTTACAACTTCCATATGTTGCGAAAGAAAATAAATCGCACAAAATTCATTGCTAGAATAACTAACTGGTGTATTTTTTCTCAAATATGCCATTTACTGCAAAAATTCTTCACGCACCCTGTATGTATTCAAAAATTAGACATTTGCAGGAGTTTTTTAGTTATTAAAAACACCTAAAAGATCGCGTGCTGTCACATGTTTTTATGACTTTTCGTCAGTAAAACAAATATAGATTCAGAATCCTTCCTAGAATGTTGTGCCAATTTGCTCCGAGATAGTTATTTGAGGAGCAAATACCCCTAAAAATATCGATTATTTAAGAATAACTTTTTTGTTTCAAGAGATAATTAGTTACAATGTTGAGCAAAAGCATGTGTCTAAACTTGCTAAATATAGTTGTTGAAGAAACCAAAACTGTAAGATGTCTAGAACATCAGTTATACTAAAAACATGATTTAAAGGGGCCTTTCACGCTATATAAGTGCTAGAAATTTTGTGTTCTGAGCAAAGTTACTTAAAATAACATTTGCTACAACTTTATTGAAGACGTTAAGTCTCTATCTGAAATAGATAAAAAAACATTTTTTGATCTCTTTTTTAGGTGGATTAATCACCAAACCGTTTACATCAAAAGCAGCGGATTAACATATAAAAAAACATCTTTGAACAAACTATACTCCTTAAATCAATGTTTGAGAAGCTATTGAAAAAGCGCACGAAAACGGCAAAAAGTAACAGTGTGCGCTGTTTGCTCTGATTAATTAACTTATTAAAAAGCTATATAAACGTTGAATGTCTTCCTGATTTAACACCATAAGTTTGATCTAATAACAAAATGAATAAGAGTTATTTTCACATACATTGACGCTTTAATTCAACTGTATTCAAACAGTGTAATAGTGTTTAATAACATGCTCTATTAGATGTCTAATAATTATGTCGTCGAAATAGCGTCCAGAACTCTTGGCTTTGTCTTCAAGATTACTAAGAACTTCACAGACATTTACTGCTTAAAATCGCTCTATTGCTCTCTCGTACGATCTACGTTGGAATGCTGCTCTGCAGTCTGGAGCCCGAACTAAAATAATGGGGCCGAGTGAATTGAATCTGTGTAACGACGTTTTCTTCGCTTCGCGCTCCGTAAGCTGCCTCGGAGATACCCACCATTTCGTCTTCCAAGCTACGAGAATCGCTGTCAATTAATCATATTGTCGAGCAGTTTTGGGACGACCTTCTACCAGCGATTTTACGGAAATGAAACAATAAATTCCAGACTTTTCAAACATATTACAAATAAGACCCTATTTTCTCAAGGTTGTATAAGAAAAAATATTAAAATATTGTTCCACGTTAAAGTTTGAGTGGTAGGAAAAGTCATTTTAAACTGCTCTAATGATGTGATCCATTGATCAATGTCGAGCCCTTACGTATCCGAAGAGACGTTTTCAGAGCCTCTGCAAGGAAGAGTCGACTGCGAAGCAATTCTGCAACAAGTGAATATTAATGTTCAACCTCGATCACTACGCAACAGGTCTTATGCTGAGCTTCGATTTCCACTTGACACGGAATATGCTTCGCCGAAGATTCTCTGCCTTTTTGCTGACCGAAGGCGCTTGACGCCCAACAGCTAAGTGTAAAATTTAAGGCTTATACATTTTTAGTAAGTTGACAATGCTTTCCTAGTTAATTTCGTTTGTAACTGTAGTATATGTAGTTTGTATAATCTGTACTTTTTTTACAACACATCATTGGGACTATTTCTTAAACGTTACTTCACACGAGAATCCAGCGCCCGCTGTGAAAGGAAGCAATAGGTCATATGAATAAAAGCAAGTCTTTACTCATGAGCAACCCAGTTTGAGGAAAGTAATCTGTTTGAGAATTTACTCAAATTCGTATGAATAAAGTTGTACCATAGAGGTAACTCTAAGACCACTGGGTCCCGAAGAAAATCATTATTATTTTTGGCTCACTCAGTACCAGAACAACGGTCCCAAGTAGTCCCAAGCTATTTCACTCACCCCTGCATGTTCTGCATGAATCCACACACCCCTGATGTTATCTGTCAAACTTTCATAGCGAATCAAAACAAACATAGTGTAGTAATAGAATTTCAACTAGAATAGGGTACGTTAATCGTTTGCTTGGGACCAATAGGCTACTAAAGTGGTGAGCCAATTTAAAATCGTTAGTTTCGTATTGATTGTTGGTTGTACTTTACTCGGAGTAAGTTCGAATTTCGAACATAGCTTTACTCTGTCAAAAAGCTGTTTGTTTTGATTTGATTTCCTTTGATAGAAGGAATATTTTTGGATGCAAAATAGAAGTGCCCGAAGAAGCTTTACGGGAAAATGGCTGAGGATTCCTTCAACGAGGAATATCTGGAGGAAAATCAGAATCAGAGTAAGAATTTTTTTTCCCAACAGTACTGAAAAATGATTTATAACTTACGCCGTTTCCATTATTTTTAGGTGAGGATGATGAAAATGGGAACCAGACTCTAACGGAAGGCACAACTTCTGAGAAAAAAAGTATTCAAGATGCGAAGTTCGTGGATATTCTGATATCCTTCGGAAAAACGCTGCTGGAAAAATCTCAAGTGCCGGCGATGAAGCAAAAGAAAAAAACTGCCATGCATGAAGTGTGTATCCAGATGCTAGTCCAACACGGGATCAATATGACTGTTCGGCAAGTCATGAAGAAAATCAACAACATGAAGCAAAGGATCAAGGTAAAAACGGATCGTAGACAAACTGGAAACCGAAAAATTATTTTGAACGAGTTGGAAAGAAAGTTTTTTGATTTAATGGGAGGAGTCGAAAACCCCAGTACTAGCAAATGTTCATGTAAGTACAATTACTGTTAAAATAAGTTGAAGGTCGCAAAATTTGAAGTAGCGGTGAATTTGAACTTGGCAAACGAAGAATCACTTACTGTAAATACTAGTTTAAATTAGTTAATATGTTGTTTTCTATTCATAAAAACATGTTTAACGTACCGATGGACTAAGTAATTACAAACAAAGAAAACTTCACGATTAATTCAAAGTTTGCTTTTTTATTTCAGATGGTGTCTCGATTGGGGTCTCGGCGAAAAATGGAAGTGTTACTCCGCAGACTACAGAGATACCTCCACATGAAAATACTTCTGAAGACGAATCCCCAGATGATCTACATGGAAGTGTTCTCAGAAAACAGGTGGGTCCATTATCTATAAGTTCTATGCACATAATCTAGAAGTCCAATGCTACCATTATAAACTGCTCCAATGTCTGGAATTTCAAACGCTACCGTCTGGAATGGTTGCTTGAAACGTGGGAGACTAATACGTATAACAGCAGTATGGACTTGATCTACATGTCTATGTCTATTATCTACACATCCTGTGAACTTATTTAGAACATTATTTCTGGTTTCTTTTCAGATGACACGACAAAGACATCCAATTCAAAGCATCGGTCAAAAAACGATTCTTGAAGAACAACTCAAACTGATAAAAGCTCAACAGGAATACACGGCGCAATTACAGACCCAACAAAATGAGCGCCACGAGAAAGAAATGGAGCTGTTGGTGCTCAAAAGAAAGCTAACGTTGTTGCTGAAAGCTTCCGTATCGATTGAAGATTCCTAGACTACTACAATGCACCCTGACTTATAACGAATATACGTTATGCATGAGTACACCACCATTTAGAACGTATAGTTCGTCTAATTGAACATAGCGTTTGCAGTGCAAGATAAGATGAATTCACGTTGTATCTGGGGTACTCGTGCAAAACGTATATTCCTTATTAGTCAGGTAAGACAGTAGGCTACTATCATCAACAAAAATAAAACAAAAATCTTTTAGTCATACATGAGTATAAGACTTTGTATTTTCCTGGTTTAACAAACATGGTCACCTAGCAAATATGATGCAATAGCATCACGGCGTTTTTGTCCTCGTTGTAGCGCTGTATTTTCTATAACGGTTGATGCAGGAACGGCTATGTCGTACATTGTAGTCTCATCTAGTTCAAAGTCCCTATCATTTAGATACTTTGCTGCATTGTGTAAAATAAAACAAGCAGCTATCCATGCGAGGAATTTTTTTCAGTTTTTACGCGTACCTTTGATTGTAAGATAGGAAATCTTTGTTTCACTTGACCAAAAACACATTCAATAATTACTCTTTCCCTTGTGTGAATCACGTTAAACATTTTCTGTGAGGATGTTACAGGATCTCGATATGGTTTCATCATCCATGGGGTGAGTGGGTAAGCTTCATCAGCCAAAAGAAGTGCGCCAGATGCATTGTCCTGTATGATATCGAAGATATCAGAATTTCTCCATATTCAAGCATCATGTACTGAACCAGCCCATTCGCAATCAACACTTGTAAACTGTTCAGTAGCATTGCATGTTGCTTGTACATTGAAGGAGTTTAATCCTTTCCTATTGATAAATTCATCTTTGTAGTTACCTGGGCGTTTGATCAAAATATGAGTGCAATCTATGGCACCTATGGCGCTGGGGAATCGATATTTTCTCTGCCATGACTTCTTTTCTTGTTCCATCTCCACCGCTGTATTAGGAAAGTGTATCCATTCGGCTGATTTATCGACGATCGCCTTACAAACGGACCATATCGTTTTGCACACTGTAGTTTGATGGACGCCTAAATCTTCACCCACACCTACCTGTGGGTGAATTAAACAATGTATAAACGCGCTCTCATTTTCACAAAAATTAAATGTTACCTGGAATCCGGGATCACCCACGTATCTTAAAAAAACACTTCATCCTTTGTCTGTTTGATAATGCACCACCTCGGGTTTCTGAATTATCTTCCAAAAATGTTTGCGCCAAAAAGTCAACATTTTCTCGAGTAAACCGGTAGAGTTCCTTGAAGTTATCATCATCTCCCACTCGCCGAGTTTTATAAATCTTTACTGAACGATTCTGATTTTGATATATACCGTCAACGTCAACTACCATTGGAAATGGTAAATTAACAAAATCTCCCAAGTACATTTTATACCGTATATTTCACTCACAAAACACGCGAGTTCACCACTTCGATTTCATCTGAGCATGCCCAACAGGTGACTCAGGATTAAGTGAGTATATTCTTGGTTCTTACAATTTTATTCATATGGATTTAGATGTTCGAAAACTAAATACTCAAATCTCAGCTTTTGTCATATCAACGTGAGCAAATGCTCAAGTAAAAGGTTTGACGTTTGGATTTTAGCAAAGTAAAAGCTTTTACTCACTTTATTCATATGACCTACACACTAATCCAGCATTTAGTTGTTCGGTATTTTTTTGTACTGGGCTTACACCGTAAAACAAAAGATTTACTGAAAATTCAGTTTAAATCAGGTGAATAACCGACGTTCTGTAAAACACAAACTGAACTTCGGTATCGTTTGATGCAAAATACTGTACACAGAATATTTATTTACTGAGAAAGTCGTTAATTTCCAAATCTTCGTGATTTCACGAAAAGTCAGTAAAACTAATTACTGTGCACAAAGTAGTTTTTATTTTTTACCGACTGGTCAGCAAAATAGCCTCCTTGTTTTACCGACCACGAATTGTAAAACTCTAACCTGTCAATTTTATTCCCGCCGCCATTTTAGGTTCAGTCAAATCCGGGAGCAAGTCTTTAATCGCGCAGTTTTGTTAAAATTTTAATTATATCATGTGTGGAGGCGAACCAGCCCATGGCTGTAAGCCTCCCTAATAAAGAGAAATTAATTAATTAATTATATCATGACGGAACTGAGAAAGCTCGACAGCGAAATTGAAGAGCTATTTCGTTAGTACCAACAATTATTATTTACTCTTTTTGCAGTTCCTTGATCTCCAACAAATTTTGATTAATAAAATTGATGTTTGCATTATTTGCTTTCACTGTCGATGCGCTGTCCCGGGGTACGTCAAGGGATTAAGTCGTCATATTAATTGGCATATTATAAACGGTGAATTGCACCAGGATTCGTGATTTTATCACTGCATATTCAAAACTTTTAATATAACTGGGTAACACGGTACAATAATGAACCAAATAACTGTCTTGTCAGTTAAATTGCAGCAAAATAAACAAAACAAAATACTGGGTTTTCCAGTATACGCAACTCAAACCAATTACTGAATGAACAGTTATTTCTGACAGATTGACTTTACGGACAGTTCGGTAATGCAAATTATTTCTGTGATGATTACTGGGCGATCCGCAATTCAAAAACCCAGTAATATTTTACTGACTCCAGTAATCTAAAGTTAGTGTGTAATGATGTCTAATAAACGCTGAATAATCATAAATTTGATCGAGGGAGATCGCAGTAGGCTGCGATGTTTTTGAAAGCTGACGTGTTTTTCTTTTGCTGCGTATTGTTCGTCAGCGAATTAAAAATTTTTTTCTTTATTTTTTTAATTTATGTTCTGAAATTTGGTTTCAAGTGTTCATAAAGTTATCATATCGGCGTGTAACGGCGCCGGTGGTGTAGTGGTAAGCGTGATTACCTCTCACCCCAGGAGGCCCGGGTTCAATCCCAGTCGGCGCCGCCGGGATGTTCTGAGGCATAACATCTCTGATCACGCCTTCCTTCGGATGGGAAGTAAAGCCGTTGGTCCCCGGTTCATGAGTTGATGGGTCGATAGGTAGGGTCCAGGTGTGGGAGCTGCCTTCCTGGCACGTCGGTAGCATTGGTGCTCAGCACGGAAAACAAGATCGACGGCAAAAACAAACCAAAGGAAAAAAAAAAAAAATATCGGCGTGTAGATCTATTGAGAGATCGGTCCGGTTGCTGAATTAGCCCGGGAACGTGTTGATAATGTGTCCGTCGCGAGTTTTGGTGGTGTCCGACGTTGCCGTGAATCAGCAAGTTTTCCTCTTGCAAAAGTGCTTGGTCTCTCGTCGGTGTTTGACATTGCGAGCAATATGAACGATGCCTCGCTGGATACGCCCAAGACTGGACGGGTGGTAGGTGGTGGCCTTTAAAGGTAACTGGGGTAAGCACTAGACGCGAACCTCCTCCCAGATGACCATGGCAATGCAAGACAATTTGTGTTCGTTGAAGGAAGTATTACGACAAAGGTGCATCACGAAGTGCACCATCAGTTCAATGTTGTGGTTGTATAAATTCGCAGTTGTGTGTTTGTTGATTTTTGTCTACTAAAATCAAGCATGATCTTGGACTTTGGTGAGATTTGATTTTCTGATATTTTTCCAACACTGCGCTCAACCCTGATATACGACCTTTGCGATAACTACAAAATGACAATTCTAAACACTGGGGAAGTAACCCGAGTGGCCAAACCTCCAGCAAGAGAAACTAGATTAGACCTCTCACTTTGTTCGAGTTCACTATCGTTGGATTGCTCGTGGAAAGTAATCCAAGATCCCTAAGGTAGTGATCATTTTCCAATCAAAATTTCTATTACCAATGGTTCACCGTCCACCCACTCGGTAGATATCGCGTACGACCTCACGAAAAACATAGTCTGGCAAAACTTTGCGTCCGTGGTTTTCGGTGGTATTGATTCGCTTGAGATACTCTCTCCGCTGGATGAGTACTCCTTATTATCGCGACTTATCGTTGACTGCGCTCTTCAAGCACAGACAAAACACGTTCCGGGTGTTTCCGTTCGCAAACGACCTCCCACTCCGTGGTGAGATAAGGATTGCACCGACGCGAACATCGAGAAATCCGCCGCGTTTAAACGCTTCCGCAAACACGGTAAGGTCTGTTTAAGAGCTTGATTAAAGCCAAAAAGCGCGGTTACTGGCGTCAGTTCGTCGATGGTTTGTCACGAGAGACTTCCATGAGAACGCTCTGGAATTTCGGCAGGAGAATGCGAAACGCGTCATCACCGGTCAACGAAGACAAGGAAAGTTTGGCCTGATTCGGTGTCAGTTCAAACCAACGTTCGTGATCGTCCGTCGGGTAGTAACGAAATAGATTCCCCGTTTTCGATGGTGGAATTCTCACTTGCTCTCCTCTCATGTAACAACTCAGCTCCAGTAATGGATAGAATCAAGTTCAAATTGCTTAAAATCTCCAAGACGTCGCGAAGAGACGCTTGTTGAACTTATTTAATCAATTTCTGGAGCAGAGCATTGTTCCGGATGATTGCAGGCAAGTGAGAGTTATTGCCATTAGGAAACCTGGTAAACCCGCGTCGGATTATAACTCGTACCGTCCCATTGCGATGCTGTACTGTATACGGAAATTGTTGGTGAAAATGATTCTTTTTCGTCTAGACAAATGGGTCGAGTCAAATGGTTTACTTTCAGATACGCAATTTGGATTTCGGATAGGCAAAGGAACGAGCGACTGTCTTGCGTTGCTTTCAACTGAAATTCAACTGGCCTATGCGCAAAAACAGCAAATGGGATCAGTTTTGTTGGACATTAAGGGGGTGCCCGATCGGTCGTCATTAGCATCAGCAGCAGTGCTTTCGGCGCGTAGTGTTGTACATTTTTCTTCAGAAAGACTCCCCGCAAGCAGCTAGTCCTCCATTCACCGAAGAACAAAAAGGAAGAAGCCACACTGCTACTGATCGGATTCAGTTGCTCGTCGTGAGCCGCTGTGGGCCATCTATGCCAAGCGCGTCACCCTTGTTCCAAACAACATACAGCTC